CTGAAAAACGGCAAACTTCGCAAGGCTATATTATCCGCATTTTACAAGATTTTGCAACAAAACTTTGGAATATTACTAATTTTGTGATGCTCTTTCAAGCTGTGATGAAATTTTTGTCTAGATCGAAATTTTAGTTATAAGGGGAAAGGCCCATTATCATTAAAATAAGGGTGAGGACCTGACCAAATGGTCAGAGAATGTTTGAATTTAAGATCTGGATGAACTGAAAAACAATCATTCATTATATATTAATACATAACCAATTGGAAAGAGACGTTAAGGAAGAGCTATCTCATCAGATCTATGATCAGATTTTATAACAGATTTTAACATATACCTGCTACATTTTGGGATCTTTTGTCGTCGCGTTTTGGCGCTCTGGCAGACTTCAAGAGCAGTAGCATCAATACCGGCGTCGCACACAAAGTGATCTTCAGTATGCTTGGTCCGAAGAACTCATCCCTTTTAAGTAGACCGAGCACTTCGCTTTTCGCTTTCCAACAAAATGTCGCGTAGTCGTTGGTTAAATTTCCACAGATCGTTCCTTCCTTGAAAAATATTTCATTGTCTTTCGTCCGACACATTTTCACATTCTTAAAGGTTCCCGAGAAATTGTCGTTTTTATCTCGACATGTTTCCTCGTGGTTTCCCTCGATTACGCCACCAAATATTACAGCAATGGTCACCATCAATCCGATGCTATACACAAGCCAAACACACCACAGCGAACTTTTGATATCCCATTTTGGAATGTTATTACGAAGCCATTGAAAACGGCGACATAGGCATTTCTGAAACCGGAGATAGAATTCCATGATCGATGCGGCAACAAAGAATAATAAAAATATGAATACCCAACCTCCATCAAGATATTTGGTTGGATAGATGCAAAGGAATACGCCTTGGACTATACATATGAGAGAGAACAGAACAGAACTTATGTGTACAAGTTTGGGCGCCTTCATCTTGATCTTGCATACGTTTCACGTCATCTTGTATGTGATACTTGAGTAAAAGACGCGCTCACAAACGCGCTCTTACAGTTATTTTCTTGGAATTAAAAATTAATTTCCTAGTAATACACAGCAGGGTTAAAACAAGACGCGGGATTAAATTACAAGGAAAGCATTCAAAAGCCCTATTCTTACAACCTATATGATATTAGATGTCGGACAGACAATTCCAGCTATGGACTAATTTTTTCTCTAGACAAGAAAGACGAAATCTATCATTATAGCTCAAAAGAGTTAAAGAGCATCCTAAAATTAGTAAAATTGCAAAGTTTGGTTGCGAAATGTTGTAAAATACGGAAAATATAGCCATGTGAAATTAGCAAATTTTCATTATTTTAGTATTACGCGCGGTAAAAATAACCATTTTTGAGCCGAAAGTGGTTCTTCTTACCGCGCGTAATACTAAAATACTGAAAATTCACAACCAAATAAAAACAAATCTCGTAAAATTTTATACATTTGGTTTTTCAAGGTATTTGAAGATGCAGCCAGGGATACCAAGACAAAAGATTTATGAAACTCTGCAGTGAGAAGTATTCTTGATCTAACCAAGTACGTATTATTAAGTTAACGTATCAATCAACCAACCACGTACAAAGTACCCGAGATAAAAACCAAAAGGATTGCAGAATTTGTACTCAGAAACGGAAAATGATAAACGCTGTGACTGTGTCAATCGTATATAAGTACTGATCCAAAAATGTAGAACCCAAAAAAAATGGATGGAATTAAATGGTGTTATGCAGACAAACAAACACATTTGTTTTCAGAAAGTGTGAGAATGGTAGAAGAAACACAAATTATTCAACTACCAAAAATGTTCAAATACCAAAAATGCTCCATTTTCAGTAACTGTATATATATATAAATATTTTATAAATGGAGAAAAAGAACAACGATAAGTGATCACACTGGTTGCTATATCTTCAGTGAAAACAATGATTCAAAACACTTCTTTTATAAATGGACAAAAAAGATGAACGATCGCATAACCCAATTGCGAAAGAGATAGTTACGATGAGTAAATATATATTATTATAGTGTTAGATCTGTATTTTTGCTATAACATTATAGAATTATTGCAATTGCCTGAATCTTTTAGTAGCGATTTTACAATCAAGCCAGCACATAGAGGCGTGCAAATCCGATCCGATCGGATTCGTTCGAATTTCGGAACAAAAATATTCATTTCGGATTGGATCGGTTGATAAAGTTGTTTCGTAGTCGGATCGAAATTTATTTTATTAAAGGGATTCTTCGGATCAGAATTCTTTATCAAAACTCGGATCAGATTCGGATTAGACAATTTCGGATCGGATTGGATTTTAAACATCAGCCAATTGTCGGATTATAAACGTCTGATCCGATCCGATCCACACCTCTACTAACACACTATATTATAGGGAATTAGCCATTCCGAAGTTGATGAGTGGACTGGGGACGAGCGTTAAAAAGTGCCCAAATTAAGAAATGAACCAAATCACTAAAACGACCACCTCAAAATTAGTAAGTTTACAAAGTTTGAAGACGTTTACAAGAATATCCTTCGAATAATAAGCTTTCGAAAATCGTGATATTTACTATAGTGAAATGTATTGTAATTTTTGTTTTGGGACGCGCGTCCCAAAAACAATCTTTTAATCAGTAATTTCACAATTTTCGAAAGCTTATTATTCGAAGGGTATTCATGTAAACGTCTTCAAACTTTGTATACTTACCAATTCTGAGGTGGTCTTTTTAGTGATTTGGTTCGTTTCTTAATTTGGGCACTTTTTAACACTTGTCCCCAGTCCACTCATCAACTTCGGAATAGCTAAATTGTTTGAGGGAAATATCATTTTTAGTCCAGAAATTTCATGTCACAGTTACTTTTAAAACATTCTATTTACAACGAGGTTAACTTGCTACAGATACTAATAATGGACTAACTACAGTTGAAACAACCGTTCTTACACTAATTAAGTCAATATTGTCTACAATACATCCATACTGTTGACGGAAATGAAAGAACTGTACACTGGCTTTGTACCACCAACAAAATGCTAGAACTATAATGATGTGCCAACATTGATGACTTGCTCCAATGTAATTTAGACGACCTGAAATAGAATGAATGACTGAATGAATAAGGTAATGGCAGGACAGTTTAGAAGTGATAGAGCTATCCAGTATAAATAAAGATAGTTTAGTTTAGGTTTCCTCGTGTAGTAACACTGGGTCAATAAGAGATGATCCTTACTGGACCTCTAGGAAGAACAGTTTAGAACTGATAGAGCTCTCTAGTATAAATAAAGTTAGTTTAGTTTAGGTTTCCTCCTGTAGTAACACTGGATCAATAAGAGATGATCCTTGCTGGACCTCTAGGAAGAACAGTTTAGAACTGATAGAGCTATCCAGTATAAATAAAGTTAGTTTAGTTTAGGTTTCCTCCTGTAGTAACACTGGATCAATAAGAGATGATCGTTACTGAACCTCTAGGAAGAACAGTTTAGAACTGACAGAGCTATCCAGTATAAATAAAGTTAGTTTAATGAATAAATACAGATGCAGTAAGATAAACATTTTGATAATGAATGGAAATACTGTGCAGCCTGAAGAGCAATATATAAGAGATTTCATCACCTGGGAAAATACATTCAGGAAACCTCAACCCATAAATTGTAATAGCTAAGCCACCCAAAACATACATTGTTACCACTTTAGGAAAGAATACCTGTAGTAAGAGAAAATAACATGTAGTTAGAAAATAGTGTGATGATGGTGATGATGGTGATGATGATGATGGTGATGATGATGGTGATGATGATGGTGATGATGATGGTGATGATGACAATGATGGTGGTGGGTTATGGTGATCATCCACTGTACCTGTACTATATTCTGTGTAAAGCCACCATGTATCCAAGTCCAGTGTAGAGATGGTATCACCCCAAACATTCCTATGACTGCAAAGGAAGCCAACCTCTTACCAGCCCAGAGTGAGGTGAAGTATTGTGGATGCAGTTGAAGCAGTAGAGCCATGATCGACATCACTGTGACTACAGTCAGGTATATCACTTGCAAATTCTACACAAAATATACTAATATGTTTATTTATTTATTTATTTAACTTCGCCACTTGCAAGAAACAAGTGGCAGGGACACCACAACAGTATACACCAATTACTGTGGGCCCTTTAAAAATTGCTAAATTTTAGGAATACAACACAAAACAACATATCTCAAAACAAAACTACATCGCACAGAACAATATTGAATATTATGCAATGCAATGCAATGCAATACATAGCAAGAACAAGGTTCGACTTTGACATTACTTAGCACTTAATCATCAATTTAAAGTACTATCGTGCAGCAGATGGTGTTCAACCTGCAGTGATCAGAGTGAGAAAATAATGTCCATTCTTTTCATTATATGTAGTAGTCTTGTATTTGGTGGCAAATAAATAGAATTGAGAGATGTCATTGATTTTCTTGTTCCTATAAATGTCAACATTTTTTTGAAGTTGACGACCATCTCCTGCCCTGTGACGCTGACTCGAACCAACGGTCTGGGGCCGGTTGTATAAAACTCTTAATCACTTTTTAATCACTATTTTGTAGTTAAATAGTGATTAACTCTCAAATACGCGCTTCTTATTGGATGACGTTTCCACTAACTATAGTTAACTTTAATCACTTTTTTATACAACCGGCCCCAGGTCCCAGTGTATGTAGTACCAATAATGAGAAAGCTTGAGATTGATACTTGGACGTCTCAAGCAATTAGGCACTTCATCGGGAGGTTTGAAACGTCCGAGTTCTTGTGTGTTTTTTTTACAGGTAGTTGCATCCTATCAATCCTAAGCTTTCTTACTGAAACCAAGAGAAAGTTTGTTGACAAGCATTAAGGATTGAGAGTTGGTATGGGGAATTAGCCATTTCCCAAAGTCCTGGGTCTAATTGTGTGAATCCCGGCATCGACTATTTCTCTGACCTCAGAATGACATTTTGTCAAAACTTTTTTCTTCAAGATTGGTTTAGAAACAAATTTGGAGTAGGGTTAGGTTAGGATTCGGGTTAGAGTTGGTGTTTGGAGTAGGGTTAGCGTTAGTAAAACCGTTGCTTTATTACGTTTTGCCACTCTGAGGCCAGCGAAATAATCTCTTCTGTGAATCCCTTGTTGGAGGGACAAGAAATATGGCAGCACACATTTAAATTACAAGTTCAATGTAAAAAGGAGATATTTCATTTTTGGTCGTGTAAAAAGTTGATATTTGATAGTAGATACTTCTACTCTTTCACATATTTGACGCCTGTCTCCATACATTTGTCCCTCCAAACGATCCCAGAATGCACTGCGATCTCCTTTGGGAAAAGGCTAATAGAGCGATGTTATTTATTGATTCCACAAGCAAAATTTTACATACAGGTTGACAATAGAAAGCATAGTAAACACTTGGTATATAACATCCACAGAGAGCCAAAGATATCCCAGCAAGATCAAGAGCTAACCAGATATGATAGATTTTCTCTGAATGACAGTTGAACATGTGATATCCTGCTGAACACAGCATGCAGAACTACAACGAGGTATATAATGATTTATTTAATTCTGTGAAGTACATGGCAGCCACAATCAATTACACACATAAAAACACACAAGTTGTTACAGGTCTGCAAACAAGTTGTTACAAATCTGTTCACAAGCTGTCGACAAGTTGTGTTCGCACTGCTTGTTCCCAGTTTTTGGAACAAGCTGTTAACAACTTGTAACAAGCTTGATGGCATTATCAGACTTGTTACAAGGTTGTTCTAACAAGTCTGATACAGTCGTGATATAACAAGAATGTTACAAGGTTGATGACACAAGGTTGTAACAATATTGTTATGTCATGAATGTATCAGACTTGTTGGAGCAACCTTGCAACAAGTCTGATAATATCAACAAAGTTGTCATGGCAACTTGGGACAAACAGTGCAAACGCAACTTGTGGACAGCTTGTTGGCAGACTCATCAATGGGTCGTTCCAGAAAAGATTCATTCTCACCCCAAGGAGGAAATTTCTGCCATCCAGAAGGGAAGGGACGGAAAAAAGTTTTCTGATAAAAGCAAGTGTATTCAGGCACCCGAACGGGGTAGATCATTTTTACCCCCAATTTCCTCTGTGAGGTCAAGGTTACATGCATATTTTCAGGAATGACCCAATCGTTGTTCATTTCCTTAAACCAGGTGTATTGGTGTCACATTGGCAATTTAATGACTGACCAACCTGATAGAACAGCAGGAAAGAAGTGAATACTACATGATCAGCATATCCTCCAAGGGAGCTTGGAATGGTCACAGCATTGGAGTAAATAAGAAGAAAAAAGAAAACGAGCGAGCCAAGAAGGTGAGTCCAGATATTGATTGTTTCATTTGTCAACCGAAATAAACTGAAAAATAAATTTAACAAAGTTGTTATTTGTCCAGTCACAGAAACCAACAACGTAATAAAACTTCCAGTCTGGGTTTATCCCGGCAGATTATCAGTATATACTATGCAACTCACCGAACTGTGGAATCGCATCAAAAATGTGTATCGTGGCCACTCCCACAAACGTCTACGACCGTACCTACATATTTTTGCATGTTTACAGTTCTAATTTTAAACAGCCAATCCGGTTCTTGGTAACAATTACAATTAAACGTCGATTGGCTGTTTAAACAATTAGAATTGTAAACATGCAAAAATATGTAGATGCGGTCGTAGACGTTTGTGGGAGTGACGGCGATACAAATTTTTTATGTGATTCCACAGTTTGGTGAGTTCCGTATAAATAGCATATATTCGAGAAACAGAAAGCAGCAATACTAAACATTCACCTTATTAAACATTTCCTAAAGGACAGATAAGCCCTATAACCAGATGTTATATAAGGATTTCCTCGCAGGAAGTAAGGAACCTCGCCATAATCTAACAAAATTATAGCTTTAGACTTTGTTTGAGTAAAAAATGGATCATTTGTCCAACCAATCTCAATATCTCTCATGTCAGTTGCTTTTTGAGCCATCCTTGCATATGATCTTGTACATTTGTAAATAAACTACGATGAAATGTAAACAAACAGTACAAACTCTATTCCATCGAATTTGTATTTTATTTTATTTTATAAGCTGAATTCTAATCCATTGCCCAGGAAAAAATCCATAAACGGATAGCCACAAAGTAAAATTAAGTCTTCACGCAAAAAAACACAAGCAATTGTTGATATAAAATAGTATTTTACGATATTGTGTGAATATTCAAATAATACACTCCTTCAATATGGACGCCATATGTTGATTTTTTTATATTTTAGATCTCTCAAAAGTAGAAATTCTAATAGTCGGGAACTTCCGAAGCTGTTGATAATTGAGACAACGTGATGTTCTAATTAATACTCTAATTAATTAACCTTTGTGTCTATAACTTTATGTAAGTGATTTGGCCAAAATAGTAATGTTCTTGAATATTCGCTTTTCAAAAGTATATTACTTTCAGAATCAAATTTTCTACTAAAGTGCACTTAAAACGCATTTTATAAGTTTTGAACCTTAGGAGCACTACTTTTACACAGAAAATACAGTAAGCAATTTGATTTACATAGTAATAGTTCAGATAAGACAAAAACCTCACAAAGATCCTATTCAAAAACTTTAATTAAACACACGTTATCGTTACATATGTCGTAGTACTTCCGGCAGAATTGAAAATAGATTATATTGAAGCCATATTAGCTTCAAGATACTTCAAAAATATTGGCGTTTTATACGCATTTATGGTGGCACAATAGTGCAGCGAACTTGTACAAGGAGCAGACAAGAGATTTCTTGGCTCGAAATATGAATTTTACCATTGTTTTTGTTTACAAAATTCTATTTGAATGAGTGAAATATTTGCAATAATTGTTAATAATACCTAGCTACGATATATGCGTCCAAATATGGTCAGACGCTCCTTTTATGGTAGCCCTATAAAGGTCGCGAGAGGAAACGTAACTTAGTATCATTTTTAATATTTGAACATTTGGTTCAAAAGAAACGAAAAAGAAACTCAATTTTTAAATTATGAACGAAGCGGAGTTTTGTCTGAGCGCTCTGCCGCACCGTTCGTTAAACGAATCAGTAAAGACCAGCATTTTTACTACAATAAAGCAAATTAAAACAGGTTAGTTTGTTCAACATAGTTTAGTTGTTCATCAAAGAGCAAAGCTTGAAAGGTGTTTATACTATGTTGCGAAGGAGCTTTTGATCTTTAACTTTCTATGTTGGTATATTGTGTATTTTTGTATGTAGCTTGCTAAATATTATGACATTTTATGCTTAAATTGACAAAGTATTCGCTATAAACCAGCCAGAATTCATACTTAAGCTATAAGCTGAAAACATAAAAGGCCTTGGAAAGATATTTGAAGAGAATAAAATTCATGACAAAACAACAGTTCTTGATAAAAAAAACCAGCCATTTTAATATATAGATGTTCTATTCTGTATTTTGTAACGATTTAATGACATTTTAAAAGCGGAAGTCTAAAGAGACATTGTGTAATCTCTGTGTGCTATCCTGGCCATAACAGTATTATCAAAGTGAAAGTTTAAAAAAATCATTTGTAGCATATTTTGCAGCAAGTGTAAATATTTGTACCACTAAGCGGATCTATTTTACACACAGCAGATACAAGCTTATTCCAGACTACATGTCCCAAATAGTGGTCCACTGCAGCATTGTGTCTGAACTACCTGAAAAAGATATCTCAAATGTGGTAGTCCAGTGTAGGTAGTATTCTACAATAAGCTGTCGTGGTTTGTGTCTGAACTACCTGAAAAAGATATCTCAAACGTGGTGGTCCAGTGTAGGTAGTATTCTACAATAAGCTGTCGTGGTTTGTGTCTGAACTATCTGAAAAAGATATCTCAAACGTGGTGGTCCAGTGCAGGCAGTATTCTACAATAAGCTGTCGTGGTTTGTGTATGAACTATCTGAAAAAGATATCTCAAACGTGGTGATCCAGTGTAGGTAGTATTCTACAATAAGCTGTCGTGGTTTGTGTTTGAACTACCTGAAAAAGATATCTCAAACGTAGTGGTCCAGTGTAGGTAGTATTCTACAATAAGCTGTCGTGGTTTGTGTCTGAACTACCTGAAAAAGATATCTCAAACGTGGTGGTCCAGTGTAGGTAGTATTCTACAATAAGCTGTCGTGGTTTGTGTCTGAACTATCTGAAAAAGATATCTCAAACGTGGTGGTCCAGTGCAGGCAGTATTCTACAATAAGCTGTCGTGGTTTGTGTCTGAACTACCTGAGAAATATATCTCAAACGTGGTGGTCCAGTGTAGGTAGTATTCTTCAATAAGCTGTCGTGGTTTGTGTCTGAACTACCTGAAAAAGATATCTCAAACGTGGTGGTCCAGTGTAGGTAGTATTCTACAATAAGCTGTCGTGGTTTGTGTCTGAACTACTTGAAAAAGATATCTCAAACGTGGTGGTTCAGTGTAGATAGTATTCTACAATAAGCTGTCGGTCGAAACCCGTATTTGATTGGTCGAAACCCGTAATTGATTGGTCGAAACCCGTATTTGGATCAGGCCATCCAAACACGGAAGACTATCGTGTACGTTGTTATTATTTTATAAAACAATTTTCCCTGTTAGGATGGCGTGATCCAAACACTTGGGAATGTTGCTCGAGTGAAGAAAAGCGCGCGAAATCACTCGCATTCGGCTCGTGCTTTTCTTAACTCTCGCAACATTCTCGCGTGTTTCGATCAGGCCATCCAAACAAGGAAACGATAAAGTAATTGCATAATCTCAAACGTGGTGGTCCAGTGTAGGTAGTATTCTACAATAAGCTGCCGTGGTTTGTATCTGAAAAAGATATCTCAAACGTGGTGGTGCAGTCTAGGTAGTATTCTATTATAATCTACAATAAGTTGTCGTGGTGACGTGGTTTGTGTCTGAACTACTTGAAAAAGATATCTCAAACATGGTGGTCCAGTGTACACGGCAATAAACGCCGATCCCGCTGCTTAACAGGACTGAACAATGTTTTGCTGTCCACGTTGTTCACACTTGTCAACAATATTGAACAATATTGTTGAGCCTGAATCGGGTGTAACAACATTTTTCGGTATTGTTGATAACTGTGAACAATGTGGGCAGCAAAGCATTGTTCAATCCTGTTTTCATCAATATTGCATCAACCTGAGCGTTTTTACGCATGTAGGTAGTATTCTACAAAGCTGTCGTGGCAATATAACAAATATACTTGCAGGGACTGAGGTGAGCACTCCGCCATGCCGGGATTGAACGCATATACCGAGCGAAACGAGGTGGGTTCGGGAAACTTCCAGCCACCAGAGATGCGTCCAATCCCGGACTCACCGAACCTGCAAGTATGTTTGGTTTTTATCTCATGCCATTTCGGTAAAATGTACTGAAGAATTTACGCATTTTAGTATGTAATTACTTGCTTGGATAACGAACATTTTATTTACGGTGAATTATAATAACACGCTTTGGAAAACATGTTATAATATGAAAAAGAAAATATGAAACTTATAAGCATTTTAGTTTATATTAGTGTACTTTTTGCACTTTACCTTCGTGGTTTTGTGTTTTTCGCCAGTTATGCTGTTTTTAAATTCAGCTCAGTGACCTTCTCTTTCATCAACCCATTAAGTTGCATCGCGCCCTAATGTGCCCTACTTTATTATTTTACTCCGTCTAATGCCAGACGATTTTACAATGGGTTAAGTTGTTTTATCTCTTTATGACTGATGAAAAACAAAACATAGAAACATAGAAAACTGAAATTGAACAGTAAATATATAATATTGACATATTAGTGGTAGTAGTTACTTAATTTTATAATTAGGTGCCATTGCTGTTAATTAGGGACGGACCATTAGAAAAGTGATGGGGGGGGGGGG